CCTTCCTTTCGGGACCTTGGGTTCTCTCCCTATAAATAGGGTTCCATCTCATAACGAGATCATCATTCTGTCACCTCATTTGCCCTAGCCTTTAGCCTACCTCCTGCACTCGACTTTCCTTTGTCCTTCAAGGAGCCCCCTGTACATAGCGTAACCACCTCACTCACAAGGAGGAGCATTGAAGTGGTGTTGTATTGAGAGCTCTGTTGAGAGTGACTTTTGACCATTGGCCAATTGCCATTTATAATGAGGATTTGGTAGGAAGGGGCCTTGTTGTTTAGATTTGAAAACATGTGGGTTTTTCATCCATGTTTCATACAGAAAATAAAGGAGTCGTGGGTGGAAATGAGGCCTAGAGTTAAATGGAAGGGGATGAAATTTCATAGGAAATTACAAATGCTAAAGGCAAAAATCAAAGAATGGAATTCTGTACAATTTTGGGAGGCTTGAACGTAGGAAGCAAGAAGTTTGTGATCATATGGAAGGGCTGGATTGGAAGGCAACTTAGGGCCTTTTGAGTTTTGAGGAACGTGATAGAGCTCTAAGATGGAATCTAAAAAAGATACTAGAAGACATAGGTGGAGGACATTAAGAGCAGCAATGGTATGGAGATTTGGGAAGAAAGAAACCAGAGAATATTCAATTAAAAGAATAAATTTAAGTAAGAGCTAATTGAAGCTATAACAATTAGAGCTGCACACTGGGTAAAAACTTTAGAGCTATTCCAAGTCTTTTCAATTAATGACATTGTTAGAACTTGGACTGAAGTGGCACAAACAGGTAGGCATATTGACTGAGTGAGAATGGAATTGAAACCTCTATTTGTAAGCTAAAGCTGAACTTTGATGGCAGCTCTACGGGTAATCTGGGAAGGGTAGGCATAGGGGGAATGATTAGAAACTAACTACCAAGAAGTGGTGGTAGCAATGCATTCAGGACCAATTGGCTTTGGAGACTTGGTCAATATGCTTACCTGTTTAGACGACCCATAAATAGTAGAGTGTGAGTTGATGGTCCGGATTGGCCCAACCCATATAGCGAATTCAAAGAGTGGATTGAAAGGAAATTTGAGTTGGAGGAAATCAAGGAAGCCATCTTCTTTATGGATAGGTCAAAACCTTGTAGTTGTAATTGGGATGGGATTTTTCAGGATGTCATTGTTTGTTTGTAGGGTTGATTATCTTATCTCTAAGGGGTTAAAGATGTTAGGGTGGGTCTGTTCTTTGCTGGGTGATTTCTTATCACCCTGATGTATCCTCTTTAATCTATTGATTATCTTATCTCTAAGGGGTTAAAGATGTTAGGGTGGGTCTGTTCTTTGCTGGGTGATTTCTTATCACCCTGATGTATCCTCTTTAATCTATTTCCTTAATAAAGTATTTTTATTTATATTCAAAAAAAAAAAAAAGCTTTGGGGCCTGATGGATTTACAACTGCTTTTTACTAAGATTGTTGGGACACTCGAAAATCAGAAATTTTGGAGTTTTTTAATGATTTTTTTCCAGAGACGTGTGACAAATCTGGATTTGAATTCAACATGTATGGCCTTGGTCCCCAAAAGAAGTTGAGCATCTCACCCAAAAGACCTTAGGCCTATCAGTTTGGTGAATATATAAAAAATCCTCTTCCAAGTCTTTTTCAAGTAATGACATCGTTTTTTTTGATAAATGAAATAATAATTTATTTATAATAATCAGAAAGAAATTACAAAACAGCCTGCCCAAGGAGAGGGACAAGCTGGTACCTCTCCTCAACAAGAACAATGTACTACATCAGACTAGGAGATGAGAGTTTACAGAGCTGCCCAGAATAAATGTTCCCTTGAAACTCCTTGTTTAGCTAACCCATCCGCTATGGTATTAGTTGTTCTACCCACCCACTGATAATTTACAGTCATGTTCCTTGAAAACCAATTAGCTTTCCTCATAATATCCCTGTAGCACCAAATAACTGAAACTGGATTTTTTAACCAACCCACAACGACTTTGGAGTCTCCTTCAATAAGCAAATTCTGAACTCCTAACTGGTCTGCAATCTGAATAGCTTGTACTGCCACTAGAAGCTCAGCTCTAATAGAGTCTCCTATACCCACGGGACCTGAGAATAAAGCTAATACATTACTATCTTTATCTCTCAGCACCCCTCCTATCCTTGATGGACCTGGATTTCCTTGGCTGCTACCATCAAAATTCAGCTTTGTCCAGCCTTCAGAAGGAGGCACCCACACAGCTGGTACCCTGTTCTTCTTGTTACTGCTACTAGCCACATTGTTTTTTTTTTTTTTTTTTTTGATAAACTCAATTAATGACATTGTTAGAACTTGGACTGAAGTGGCACAAATAGGTACTTAGGTAGGCATATGGACTGAGTGAGAATGGAATTTGAAACCTCCAGTTGTGAATAAGCTAAAGTTGAACTTTGATGGCAGCTCTACGGGTAATCCAAGAAGGGTAGGCATAGGGGGAATGATTAGAAACTACCAAGAAGTGTTAGTAGCAATGTATTCAGGACAAATTGGTTATGGAGACTTGGTCAATATGCGTACCTGTTTAGGTGACCCCCTAAGTAGTAGAGTGTGAGTTGATGGTCTGGATTGGCCCAACCCATCCAGCGAATTCAAAGAGTGGATTGAAAGGAAACCTGAGTTGGAGGAAATCACGGAAGCCATTTTCTTTATGGATAGGTCAAAAGCTTCGAGGTCTGATGGATTTGCCATGTTTTTTACCAAGATTGTTGGGACACTCTAATAGCAGAAATTTTGGAGTTTTTTTAATGATTTTTTTTTTCAAAGAGGTGTGATAAATCTGGTTTTGAATTTAACATTTATGGCCTTGGTCCCCAAAAGAAGTGGAGCATTTCACCCCAAAAGACTTTAGGCCTATCAGTTTGGTGAATAGCTTGTATAAAATCTTAGCCAAGGACCAAGGTCCTTGAGGTTTAAAAGAGTCTTTGCTTCCATTGTTTGTCCTAATCAAGGGGCTTCTGTGCAAAGTGGACAAATCACTGATCGAATCTTGATTGCAAATGAATGTATGGAGTTAAAAAACTCAGGAAAAAAAGGTTTAATCTGCAAATTGGGTTTGGAGAATGTCTATGATTTGGTGGATTTGTCATTCTTATTGTACTGAGAAGTTGTGGGTTATGGGAGAGATGGTCGTTGGACCGACTTGTGTCATCTAGGTTGTGGTGCATGTTCCAAGGTTCAGCATTGAGGGAATAGAAACGAGGGGATCATAGAAGGCACCCGCTCTCTAATCTCATTACCATGTTTAACATGGCTTACACAAAGACAATGAGGAGCAGAATCAATTCCCACATTTCATAGAGATGACTATGGGATCATTATTCTCATTCCAAATGAGATCACTATGTATTCTTTTTTCCCACTTATATCACAAGAATCGGTTCTGAGAATGCATGCCAAAAACAACCTAGGCATACACTGTTCTTTTCCTATGGGCCTCTATTGAATAGATCAATCCTGTTGGATGTGAAAATGGTCAGAAATTTRGAGTCGTAAAAACGAAAGTGTAAAGAAACAAACAAACTAAAAATCGAAGGGGAAAGGAAAATAAAACGAACAGAAACACGAAGGTTTCAGCTTTAAAAGAAAAGTGTAAAAAGGTGTCGAAAAAGCATGAAGATGGCCATGTGGTTTGCCCAAGTTGCCACAAGGTGGCTAGGGGGATCATTTTCAGCCTGGCCTTGAAATTCTAGGCTTGGGCCTTGGTTTTGTGTGCAGGCCCAGCCCGGACCACAATTCTTTTTATATAATAAACATTTTTCAGAAAAAAATTATGTCTTTATATTATATATAAATATAAATAGTATAAAATGCACAGACAGTATATTATATATAATATTTTCTATTTATATTTTATGCATATACTATGTTGTATAATATAAAGTATTTTATATATGAAATCTAATGTATTTAATAACTTAGGACTAGAGCCCAGTCTGGCCCATGATCACCCCTAAAGGTGGCTATGAGGTAACATGTTCTATTTATAAGTGGAGAAATGAAACTTCATTGTTGATCTTATCATTTAGCCCATAAATGATGTAAAGTGCAATACCTAGTTGCATGGAACTAAAACTGGAATGAATGGGGAGCATGAGAAAATTTGCTTAGTATGTATGCTACCAGGCAAAAGCAATCAATGTCATTGATTGGGCAAAATTTTCTGGGTTAATAGATATAATAGAAATCACACAAACATATAAATGAAGATTTCTGCCAACATCTCAAAACAGAAGAATTTCTTTGTACACTAGCTTCATTTTGTTGTTCTGATAGAAAGTCTTGACATTATTGCTAAATCTCATGGAAATGTGAAGTATCCTTTTCTACAAATAACTTTGGCTATCATTTGCAGTTTCATGCAAGGTTTGAAATATTGATATGATACACCCTGTATGACTGGAGGTGCATCCGTGTATGTTGCTAGACATGCGCATTGGGCCAATATGGGTGTGTATTGGTACATATCGACTTGTATCGATTGATTTGCACTGTTATGGATCGATACACTGTGATACACTGTGTCTTTCTATTAAAAAATGAACATAGTCTCCAGCCGATGAAGTGGATGATGCCACCAAACCAACTGACCATCAAAATATTTAGTTTGTTAAGCTATCCTAAGAGCTATGACATTCAAAATCCTAGGAATATAATAGAAGTCTATACAATCAAAACAAAGTATAAGTTTCCTAACTTGCTCCGAAAACACTAGACTAAACCATGGGATACAATTCTGAACCATGTTAGCGCTTTTCAAAGAACGCCTCGCCCAAACGCCAACTATGTTAGGCGCATGCTTAGTGGGCTGAAGCAAATATATATTATATAAATATTTATTAAATAAAAAATAAAAATATGTAATATTTTATTGGTTGTTGTAGTTTTTATAATAGAACCTATTGCATGTTACCATGCTTTTGTTTTGAGGAAAGTAAAAAAAAGTTAATCTTTGAGGGTTTCACATTGACAATAGAATTGAAGTATCAAACTGAGGAAGATGAGAGAACAACAGCATCCATCGTTCCCACACAGTCCTCTAAAGTCAAGGTGAGTTAATCAGTTCTTGTATCTTTGTTTCCTGGTTTAAAACAGTGGTTACGCCCCATTTTCTCTTCCTTTTTGTATCTTTTCTCCAAGTTTTTTGAATCATTTTATTGGACTAAAACAGGGGCTCCGCCTCCTTTTGTTCTTAAATTTCTTGCATGTTTTCAGCTTTTTTTTTTTCTCATTATTGGTGTCTGAAACAGGGGCTCCGCCCCTTCTTTTATTCTTCATATTCTTGTTTTATTTTAGTATTTTTTTCACCAGCTTTTCTGGGTCTAGAACAGGGGCTCCGCCCCCTTCTTTTGTTCTTAATTTCTTCCATTTTTTCAGTTTTTTTTTTTTTGTTATCATTGGTTTCTGAAACAGGGGCTCCGTCCCTTCTTTTCTTCTTCATATTTCTTCTTTTGTTTTAATATTTTTTCACCAGATTTTCTGGGTCTAGAACAGGGGCTAAGTGCAATGACAGTGAACTAAGGTGCGATTGAGGCATACCAAGGTGCAATGGAGGCTAAGTAAGGTGCAATAAAGGCTAGGTAAGAGGCAATGGAGGCTAACTATGGTGCAATGAAGGCTAGGTAAGATGCGGTGGAGGCTAAGGTGCGAAGGAGGCTAAGTAAGGTGTGATGGAGGCTAAGTAAGGTGCGATGGAGGTGTTCTGATGTGCGATGGAGGCTAGGTAAGATACAATGGTAGGATATGTTGTGTTGGAGGCGTTGAGATGCGATTTCAAATCGCTAGTAAGGTTTGCTATGTTGCGCATCACTGAAATGTGATTTTGACTTATGCTTACCATGCTAAGTCTCTAAGAGATGCGATTTTAAATCACAGAATGAACAACACTTTCAGTTTTAAAGTTGTAAAACCCACAAGAGCCAAATCAGACTTAAACACCTCCCAATAAAGGTTCTAATTTTTCGCCAATGGAGTCACCAGCTGTGAGCTCTGAGAAGCTCATGGCTTGCTCAAACAAAGGAGTTACCACCCATTTAACTTAAGAGGAAAGGGGTCCTTTTTTAACTCTGAAATTTGATTTTTGATTTGAAACAAAGTGACTCCATCCTCCTCCTAAAAGGCACTTACTAGAAACTCAATCCGTTAGGTTTGGGAGACAAAAGGTGTTAGGCACCTCTCTCTCCATGTTGTAAATAACAACCCGATATGGGAGTTGTTTAGGCTCTCAACTTTACAAAATTTGAATTAATACAGATGGAGTTCTAAAATTTGTGAATAGGATCCCTTCTAACATCTCTTAATCTCAAATTTAAGGGGATGTTATTAGAAATTAGGTACTAATTAATTTTTCCTAAATCCATCGCCTCCCTCCCTTTAGTTTTGAGATTAAGTGAAGTTTAAAGAAGCTTTTACAGTTTTTGAGCTTCGATCAACCCAAAATCAAACTAAATGATATCTGAAAGGAAACTAATGCAACAATTGACTAATGAGAAAGAAAAACTAACAACATATGTTAAGAATCTTACCTATTTGATGTAGCATTGACTAAAATTTATAGCAATGATTTTAGAGCCTGAGAATGGCACCTTTTGGGATTTTTTAGTGAAGGAAGATTTGGCAATTGCTCCTTAAGGAGAAAGAGTGGATATTTCATAAGGGCTTTGTCCTTCTTGAAGACAAGGATGTGAACACGGGGGGATGGGGCATTTTTGGTGAATTCTAACCTAAGATTTAAATTTTTTTCTCAGGTTATTTATTAAAATGGTTGGGGATTCAAGTGGGGGTTCTCTCTCTCATTTTTCCTTTTAAAAACCCATCCTATTGTAGAAAAGGGAGACTGGAGTAAGTTTGAAACAAAATTACCACATGTTCAAGATTTCAGACACGCTTTAACATGTAAGAAAACCCAAAAATATGAGATTTTAGTGATTTTCCTGGGTTTCTCATGCCCAATGGAGTTATTCTTGAACATGTTCATGTTAGGTTCGAATTTGACTTACCAGTAACAGCAAATGTAAATTTGAAGTGGCCATAATGGCCCATTTGTCAAATTTTAGGGTCATGAAGGGTTACATTGGGAATTTTGGGTTCCTTTGGTCTATTTGGAATTTGAATTGTCCTAATTGGTCCTATGAGCTAGGGGGGATTAAGTGAAGGGTTGACATCAGCACTCGCTCTTTTAAGGTTTTAGGTTGGGGCAAATAAAGGGGTGATTTAATCTTGTGCGTCCTAATGAAACCTTTCCAGTTTAACGGTCAAACAGATGAATTGGGTCATGAAAATTAGCATATTGGGATTTTTTGGCTCTCTAATCACAGTGGTGAAGTCTTATTAGTCAAATAGGATCGGGATGATGAAGATCTATGGCTGAAATGATTGGATTAATGARATTTGTTGAAATAAAATGCTTGCTATTTGGGCCTCTAATCACAGTGGTGAGGTCTTATTGGTCAAATAAGGTCAAGATGATGAAGATCTATGTCTGACAAGTTATTATAAGTGATGGATCACTGGCTAGAGGTATATATTGGTTTAGATTATGGTTTTAAGAATGCTTAAAAATGGAATCTTGGTTGTTTTGGAGGGATTTGGAGGAATTAAGGCTAAAATTTGGTTTAATTAATTGTTTAAAGGTTTTGTTTCACATGATGGAGTCTGATCGTGTGACTAATGTGGTGATATGGCATAATTGTAACTGTTGGTAAGGAATCTTGTAGATTTAATGGTAGATCTAAGGGTATTCAAATCATGATTTAGTATATTGGGGTCTTGACATGTTCTAAAAAGAATTGTCGGTTTTGATCAGGTACCCAGAGTATGAAAAGTGGGTCAGAGAGGGGATCGAGCAAAAAATGGTATTGACAAAGAGCCTTGAGGAGTGGATTAAGGTCTGAAGGGTCAAACCAATATATGTTCTTAGTTTCTCTTCCTCCTTTATGGACCTTGTTGAATAGAATCCCTTCACTAGTAAATCACTAGGATGAGAAGTATTATTAAGAGATTGGATAGCACATTCAAAAAAAAGCATACTCTATACAACACTACTGACGAATGCACTTTAATTATAATAACTCATGCTTATCTAGGATGACAAAATCTTGGTTATTTCTTTCTTTAAGAAAATACGAAATAGATAAATCTTCGTGTTGTAATTTCATCATCATCCATGGCTTGTGCCAAATATATGGGGTTGGCTAAAAACACAAAAGTACAAAGAAAATTAATGTCTAATTAATTTATATTGACTGATTCAAATATGTTAGTGACTCAACTAAATAGGTCATTAGGTTGTTGACCATGCATGTCAACATTTTTATTTGTTTTCAACAAAGTGGTTTGGGTTGAAAAAGGCTCATGAATTTGTATGTGACTAGTCAATAATCAGTTTGACTATTAGATTTAACTGAAAATTGAAAACATTGATAGAAACGAGTAGGAAGATTTAAAGCGAGGTGGTTGAGTTGTCGAGAGACAACAAATCCACCATTATACCATGTTTTCATTACTTGTCTTCGTTAGATGAGTTCTAGTGAGGACACATTTTATGGTAACCATCCATGTGCCAACCATATAAGTGATTTATTTAGGTACAAATATAAATTTAGCTTTAAATGAGCACATGAAAATCATATTGTCAACGTAACCGTTAAAGTATGTTGGAAGTGATTAATCAGGTAATGGGAATATATTAAGGTGTGTGGATTCTATTAGTTGAATTTATTTAAATTTTTAGAAGATATAAAGTGAGGTAAATGGTGGATCAGGTAGATCTGAGGATGGAAATCAATATTTTGTTGATTCTCATTGATCTTGGCATATGATGTAATAGTATGATCATGGTGGCAAGTATGAATGTATACGGTGTTGAATCTTGGCTGTTGATTTTTGAATTGCTCAAAGGCTAGGTATATGATAAATTTGATGGTGGTTTAAAGAACTTGATGGTTAGAGTTGGCCTTCCACCGTTGGACGGTTTGACTGCTTAGGTCAGTGGTTTGCTGATTAAATCAACGTTTTTTAGCAAAATAACGGTCATGGGGTATAATGGAATTGGTTGTTGGATTTGACCGGTTCTTGGTTTTTCCGGTCCCGTCTAGTTTTGAAAACAATGTCAAGTCTATAATTTTCAGGTTTTCTAGAGGTTTAAAGGGTTCAAACTGATCCACCCAGGCAATAATCGAATTTAGCGTTTTTTTTTTCTTTTTTGTCTTTTTCTGTTAGGCTCCATTTGCTTTTCGGGAAGTTACTTATATATATGGGTAAATGTAACCTGAGTAAGTATTTCCTAAGAAACACTTACCTCCCTATGTGCATTTATCTATGCTCTTTTATTTCCTAGGTAAATAAGATATTGACCATTTTACCTATAAAAAACCATTATTAAAATGGGCAATTTTGTCTCATCCAAGTATTGTCAACTTTCCCCTAAGGTGGGAAAGTTATTTATCCACCTGAGAGATGGGTATCACACTTATTAGGGAAAATAAATTTTCCATTGACCCCACCGGTGTTTTTGAACCATTGTTGATTCATACAGTCAGACCGTTTGGCCTGGGAACCATCTTGTAGGCAATTGGTTCCATTTCACCCTTAACCTGTTATTTGGCAAAAAATCGTTGATTTGGTCAATGACCCGTTGACATGGGTGGTCGAACCATTGACCTATTCAACCCGAACAATGGTTTTTGGCCATTTTTTCATTTTTTTAATTTAGAACAGACCATCCATTCAAAGTGGATGGTCAAATCACTGACCCTGAAATCAGTGGCCAAAGCAATTTCAGTTTCAGGTCGGTTTTTAAAACATTAGACCCCACGTAAATCTGAAAACAGAACATACATATCTTGGCAATACATGAAAACCAAAATCCCATTAACCAATTTTTCTCTCTAAAAATCCGAAAAACAAAAAAGGCTAAAACAGAAGACATTGATCAGAAAACATAATTCTAACACACGTACCGAGTATTATATTATTTATCTACAATAAATCTTACACYGGATTGTTTTCCATCACATCATCAAATTAAAATACATATCATAGTAAACAAACTAAAGGCGAATGTGTGATGAAGAGCTAGAAGTTTACTGACACATTTATTTAATTACCTCCTCCCACCACAACCCCCCTCCCTTTGGCAGTTGAAATAGAGAGCAGCAACTGGTAGGCCGAGGTTGTAAATCTCAGCAAAGTCTCTGGTGTTGAAATTTTGACGCCACCCTGGAGCATACACTGTCTGCCTTCCCAATTGCCTAAACAGTGCAAACACAAGACGGTGGATCCCAGACGTTGGATTTGGGCTCTCATAGCTCACTATCTCATTCCCTGCTGGAACAATTAATATTAAAGCATACCCATCTTGCAGTCACACACTTGTACGTGGAAATATTGTTTCTCATAGTCATGCCTCTCGCTAGACAGCCAGAAAACTAAATAGGTGGTGATATGCACATGCAATTTTCATTGAAAAGTAAAGATTGATATATAATATATTTTAAAGAGAAATATATGTATGTTTGATAAAGGTTTAGGGTGTACTATTTAAGGCATTCCTGAGCTATATCTTTCAAACCCTACTTAAAAAGGATCGGATATGCTACTCATACTTGTTTTCACATTTCTATCCACGAATAATTACAACTGTGCATCAGAAATATCTCCTTGTCATTACAGGGAGCAGTGGTAAATAATTTATTTAAGAACCCACTACACCCTTAGAGTGCAGTTGTAGATTTCTAGTGGTGGACTGAACGGTAAAAACCCCTAGGCCCAATCTCTTTTAACTTGGGTTTGGAAATTAACATTTCTGAGAGTTCATAACGAATGTTTCAATAAATTTTGACCGTTACTGGGCGAAAGTTATGGGTGAACAAGGTGAATACATAGTTATTTGAATAAATATATGTTTGCTTCCGTGTACGTTTTTTGAATAAACAGTCCCACATAGACACCTCGTGCATTTGTATGTATCGATATTTGTAAAAGCAAACTTCGATTTCTGTGCATCTCAACCATTTTAGGAAGTGGGATTGGCATTTTGCTGATGTGGTGCCTAATGGCATTTATGTGTCATAAATACCCTCATTAATTGCTTTTCTCGGTATTGTAGTCACACAAATAYAAAACGTTTACTCAATAAACATAAATGAAACCAAACACCCTATAAGTGGTTTAGTGGTCAATTATCATTGTCCTATTACAATTTAATTAACTAAGTTTAAACACAAGGTATTTTAAATCTAGACTGGACCAGACAACCAGACCGAAAAAATTGGGAAGTAGTCACCTGGTTGGTTCCGTTTCAGCCCAGAACTGTTTTTTTGGCCAAAAACCATTGATTTGGTCAGCGAATTGCTGACCTGTTGGGTGGTCGAACTGTTAACTCGGATAACGGTTTTTGGTCGTTTTTACTTTTTTTAATTATTTTTATTTTTTTTTGTCCGAATGGGCTGTCTGTTTGGTTTGAATGGTCAAACTATTCGACCCAGGAATCGGATCCTAGAACGGTTCCCTGTCTAGTTCGGTTTTAAAAACTTTGAATATATATATATATATATATATATATATATATATATATATATATATAGATGCAGGCCGTGCTTCCCTCCCTTGGGATTCTTGCCCGCATAGGCCCGGTCTGTGCCATGCCATGCTGCGGACCGGGCTAGTCCACAGGCCAAGCCTTGGGCTAAGCCAGGCTACAAACCGGGCCAAGCCATGTTTTTTTTTTTAATATTTTTGAAAAAGTAATGAAAATTTTAACATAAATTAAAAATGGGCAAAAAATAAAAAAGATCTTAAAATTTTATTTTATATGAATTTTGGTGTATACAATATTGCTTATATATGTAATAATAAAATGAAATAATATAATAAAATTGAATAAAATTATGGAAAGGTACATACAGGCCCATTGTAGATTTCTGAATTCCACTGCAGACCTATAAACATTCAAAATGTCAAATACCCTACTCTATACACCAATGCTTGCTTGTGAATTGGCATCAATTCCAAATTGGCACCTACCCCAAGTGTACTTTGGGCCTAAAAGTTCTGACCCTTGGCTGAACCATCATTCTCCCAAAAAATTATATATATTAATATATTATATAATAATTGATGAGGGCGGATTTGGCCCTCTAGTGACACTATGACACCTGGCACCTTGTGACAACTAGGTGTAGCCTTGTGACAACTAGACAGCTCGCCACTTACAAGCAGTTCGCCACAAGCACTTGCCACTAGGCAGTTCTCCCAGGCAGCTCGCCACTAGGCACCTCGCCATCA